TTTGGTCAGGTGCCAGCGAGGTTACCTTTAGCTTCTTAACCCTTTACAGGTGAGAGGAGCTTTCCCCTGGCCAGGAGGGATTTCAAAGGGGTTTACCCTTCCCTTTTTATTTATGACAGTTGTTATGCACATCGCCTCCCACAAAGTCTGTGTAACATGTGGCTGTGGTTTGAGAGAGAGGTTGGGGAATGGAAAAGGAAACAAAGTGTTCTTGTGATGTGTGGTGCCAGATCTTGTGAAAACTCAGGCACTGACTCAGTTAAAGTTTGTTAGACTTTTTGACAGTGTGGTCTTGCTTCATTCATATGGATACTCATGATGCTACATTATTATTATTATTTCTATATTGGAATACCATGGCAGCTAGAAGCCCCAATCCGGACTGTGCGCTAGTGCTGAGAAAGCACATGGTAAAATACATTCAACAACCCCAGAGAGCTTAAAATATAGACAAAATGTAACATGCACAAAACCATGCAATATATTTGCAATAGGCAAGAACAAGAGAGCGTGTTTACATTTCACCACAATGCCACCATCCATGCTTACTAATTTCCCCAAATCAAGTCCACCTTCCCTCCCCTCTGATTATATGCCTCTGCCAACCAAAAGTTCCCTCCACTCACCTCATCCACACATCCTTATCTACCCTCTCCCCATAGCAAACAAAACCGGAATTATGTAAGGGCCTCCTCCTGTGCTGCTTCTCCTTCCCTTCAATGGCTCAGTGCTTGTCCCTAGAAAAGGGATCAGTCTATTTTTCTCCCTCCTGTCACAGGAGGTAGGGAAGGCAGATCTCCACTTGTCCCTAAGTGGAGGGGGCATGAAGTCTGCAGAGTCAATCCCTGCCCATTTTAGTGTGCCAGCTGCTTGTCCCTTCTCTCTCCATCCCCTCCCTCCAACCCCTAAAGTGCAGAGGAGGGCAGCTCCAATTGAGCTCATCTCCCTTCATCTGCCCTCCTTGTCACTTTGACTTATGTGAGTGAAAATGTCACTCACAGGCAGGGCTTTAGGCATTAAGCACCCTTCAGCTGTGCCTTCCAGATACTACAAGATACTCTCACAGCTTCCAAGCAGACAGCCAAGATTTTCTGTGCCTCTCCTTCTCATTTCTCCCTCACTGTCATTTTGGCACAGTGGAACAGGAAGTGGAGAGAATTAGGCTGCCAGCTTTGTTGCTTCTTGACTCTGAACAGCAGTACATTCCACTGCCAGGTGGCAACGGACACAGGGTTACAAAGGAATGTGCAGAATTGCTGGGCCTCATCATATGTTAAAGTATTTCATTATGGCTAGCATGGAACTCATTAAAGTTTGCTCTCATTCAAAATGGCTATCATTTCTTGTTACATTTAAAGACACTGAAGCCATAGGCTGCCATTATTAAAGATGCCATTTCCTTACAGCTTTCACATGTGAAATGAGGCTGCCTTTAGTAAAGTTGGCCACCATCTTCCAATGTTTCCACGGGGCCTGAAGCCAAGCTTCCCTGAGCGAAGATGGCTACTCCCCTGTGCTCTAAAGATTCCAAACTAGACAGACAACTGTGAGGATAAAAGGGAATGTGGGGAGAAGCAGAGAGGCTAGTGTATGTGGGGTCCAGTGGAGAGACTGAGCAGTGTACACAGGATTGTGGGATGTAGGAAGGATTCTGAAAAGGCATGGGTAGAGACTGAAGAGCATGCAGAGGGAAAGAAGATGGCAGAAAGGAAGAATGTGAAGTATGGAATATTGTTATAAATGGGCAGCAAAAAATATGGGATAGGCAGGTGAAAATGGGGAAGAAGTGTGGGAAGGGAGATTGGATGGAACATGAAGGGTGAGCAGTATAGTCAGCTCAAAATGCTTCAAAATCATGATTCAATCCCCCACCCCTCCATTATGAGATTTTAAAATTTTGGGTTGTCTTCTGACTTTACATTCTTAAGCTTTTCTGTGTAACCATGATTGCTAGAACCTTTTTTTAAATTAAATCTGAGATTGTTCTGTAAATACTCATCTTCAGGAGCTGGGGTTTTAAAAAAAAAAAGCATGATTCAATTGTGAGAGTTGTCAACAATAGGAAAGAGACCAGAGAAGATGGAGGAGATGGACAAAATGGCACTTCCCCATGCCAAGTGTTAGGATAAAGTAAGTAGAGTCCCCCTTTGAGCACCCTGTAAAAAGGCTCTTTTTTATGACTACTTAGGCTTGAAATTTCAACTTGTATTGATCACATGCTAATTGCAGGCCAGCAGCATCTTTCTACAGGCTCAAAAAACAGAAGGCAAATAACTACCTGCCCTTACCCCCCCACCACCATTGTATTGATTGTCATTATTATTATTATCCCTCATTATTACATCATGGGAATGATTTGTTTGTTTCAATTTGTTTTAAACAAATAGCTTCAAAACATAAGAGATTTTTAGGCATAAAAAGGGGAAGCTACTGTCTAAAAGGTATCCTCATGAGTCATCATTAAAACCTGACCACAAACTGACTCCATAGATTTGTGTAGTCAGGTATTTTGTTAAACACTTCACAGAATTCCAGCATTTGTAGACTTGTTCTCCTTTGACTTTTTTTTAAATTCTCATAGTGCTCATGAGTGCTTCTAGAGGTCAATGATTGTGATGTCTTGCACTCCTGGCATGTTCTTGAGCTGCTCATTCATACCCCTAGGGATTGTTCCAAATGCTCAAGTAATCACTCAGATTGTCTCTGATCATTCCACTTCACAGAGCTCTTCGTACTTTGCTATCTTCTTTTCTTGTTTCTTTTTTTTTTTTATGATTCTATCTGCTGGTATGGCAATATCAATTAACCTGGTCTTGTTTGTCTTCATTTCTACAACAGTTATGTCCAACCTGTTTGTCTGGCCAATTCAGTCTGTGACAATATTCAGATCCCACAAAATCTTAGCCTCTTCATTCTCTAGATTGTTCTCAGGTTGGTGGTCACAATACTGCATGGTATATTTAAATCCTGAGATGTATGGACAGTTGTATAATATGGACTTGGGATTGTCTGCCTCCATACAGCACAATTAATTAATTAATTAAATTTTGGTGGGTTTAAAATTAGTCTCACAATTTGGGGAGTGACTCATAATTTTGGGGGGGAGAAGGAGACTGAACCACTGGAGGAAGAAAACCAGTGGAGAAAGGGGAGAGAAAGGGCCAGGTAGTAGGCAAAGAGAGAGACCATAGTAAAGAGACAAAGAAATAGGAGATTGGGATTAAGAGAGGGGAAAGGAGGAAAGAAAACTGCAGGCACTTTGTAACTAGGGGGAGAATGGTCTAGTGGTTAGTGCACAAGCTTGGGAGACAGTCCTCCTAGTTTCAGTGCTATGTTCAGTGTTGTCAGAAGCTACCGGTGTGGTGCTCTGTTCGTGTTCGATGATGATAAGTGCGTGTTCCCTCTGTGTGCTTTCCCAGCTCTGTGCAGATAGCTAACACAGCGGACCCCGAGAGAACCGCCAATGACCACAGACTCTAGTAAGGTATGAAGACACGTTGGCCAGGTTTATTGCTCAAACGAAGCATAGTGATAGTTCCCTATAGACTGTACAGGGCACACTACGAATTTATGCTCCCTGGCAATGAACTCAGCTCAGTCAGTGGCGGGACTTTCCACTGCCCGCTAGGCCGGACAAAGACACCACCCCTGGATGCATTCTTATACATAGGTACAAACAAGTTACACAGTGCTCTTGACGTATTGAGGTGCAACCCCTTTACTTAACTATGCACCACCCTTCTACGTAGTGAGGTGCCACCTCTCACCTTGTACATGTTGGTTCGAACAAAACAACTCTATCCATCATACTAGCCTTTTGCCCCTCTCCTTGTTATCTATGTGGATGGTATAAGAATGTTCTTGTACCATTTGTATACAGTTCTGGTATCCAATACACCTTTAGATATGTTTGTGCAACAGCATAATGTTTATGCAACCTCAGCCTTTTCCTTGCCAGCTTCTGTGAGCAGTGCCTGCCTTTTGGCTCGCAGCTTAACTTTGCTTTATGTTAGCAAAGTCTTGACCATTACTTTAGCTCATGCCTTAGGTCTCATACTGGGCCTCTGATACCAAGGGTTTATGTTTCAGGGCCTCATCTTACTACACTCAGCTTTGCCCAATTCACTGTGTGACTTTGAGAAAGTCTTGTCATCCCTCTGTGCCTGAATGTACTCATCTATACAATAGGGTGGTGATATTGGCCCGTGCCCTACCTCACAGGTAAGTGAAAGCACCTCAGGGGCAAGTATTAGCATTTATTTATTATGATTACATAGAGAGGGACAGGGTGACCCAGAATAAGCTTGCTCACTTCGTGCCCTCACATCCACAACGATGTCCTTCAAGTTGCTACTTAGAACTTGACAGCTATGCAGCTCACTGCCGATCCCTGCCCTTCCTAGAGTCCCCATTAATTGGCTCTCCAGGTGGCCCCTAGGGGAACAGTCTGACAGCCCACGTGGCCTGTACCTGACCCTCCTGGATCTCAGCTGCTTAGCTCCCTGGCTGCTTGATTTAACTGGGAATTGGTCCTGCTTTGAGCAGGGGGTTGGACTAGATGACCTTCTGGGGTCCCTTCCAACCCTGATATTCTATGATTCTATGATTCTATGATTCTCTTCCTCCGACAGGGAGCGGCTCCTGGCTGATCTGTAAGAGCAGGGAGCCGACAGCACACATGGCCAGTCCCTGCTCCTCGTAATGTCCTGGCTGTTCACCTTCTCTGCTGCTTTTCTACCGCCCTTATCACTAGTCTATGTGTCTGTCTCTGGCTATTTCAAGCTGTCTATGGTAAGATTCTTGTGTCTAGCCGCCTCTAGACAAAGGGACAGAAATGGCGGGCTGCACATTGCTCTCTGGCCATAGTAAAATGCTTCTGTTACCAGCACACGGGATGGGAGAAAATGCAAACTTTATCTCGGGGCTTTGGGGAGCCAGCCCGCCCCCTGCCGGTGATTTCGGAGTGCGTGGGCTCTGCCAGCTCCAGTGCCCTGTAGCTCTTTCCTGTGTGGCTACTGGAGCCCGCTCCGCAGCTCAGGCTGCCAGCAAATCCCGAAGTGAGGCTAGCGAGAGGGGGTGAGTCGGTCCGTGTTTGGTTAACAAATTCCCTGCAAAACAGCCCCCGAGCCCCCCAGAGCTGTGCTGATGTCACATCCGCTGCCCAGGTCTCAGCCCCTCTGCCAGCAGCGAGGGCTCCGCTCTTTTCTTGGGTCAAAACTTTTGCGGTGGGTTGGTTGCGGGCGGAGGGAAGGGGGCGAGGGGAGGGGGGGAGGCTGGAGGCGCTTCAGCACCACGGCCAGCGCCTTCCTCGCTTGCCTTCCCTGGGCTGGCGCTCCCCTCCCTCTCCGCTCGAAGGATGCCTGCGGAATGATTGTCCCTCGGGCGGCTGCGGCTTCCAGTCGGCTCCGGCGGGCGGGCAGAAAGTGCAACTGACTAGCCTGGGCTCTGCAGCGAGAGCGGGGTGAATGAATGAAGAGTGAAAAAAGCGGAGCACACCTTGGATCAGAATGCAGGCGGCCTCCAACATCCTCAACCTGCTGCTGCTGGCTTTGCTCGCTGGGCTCGATCCTTCCAAGGTAGGAGACGGTGTATTGTGGTTCGCGTGAGACCATCTGAAAGCTGTCCTCCTATGCCCAAGGCTCCTTCCCCCCCCCCCCCTTCCTCCCGCTCCTGGCAGATGTCAAGTTCACCTATCCCAGTAATGCCACCTCAAGGTAAATAAATAAATAAAAATAAATGTTTTATGGAGCAGGCAATGCGGATCTCTCGGGGTTTGGCTTTCGGCGTGGAAAGGCTTTTGCGTGTCCTTTTGTTGTCCGATCAGCAACACTGGATAGTAACGGGAAGGATATTTTGTTGTCAACATTCATTGAGATGTCTGGTTCCATTGTTTAAGAAAGAGATGCCCCCCCAGGCCCCGCTCCTTTTCTCTATGTGTATGCTGGAAATTGGTCAATAATTCTAACAACGCAGACGTGCTGCAGTTTGTGTCCAAAACATTTGGGATGCTCCTACAATTGAAACCTCGAATAGAAAAGATTAATTGTCTCTGATCGCTGATATTCGGATTCCCGCCTCCCCCTCCGGAGTTTACTTTATCAGACAAAAATAAAAGAAGCTGGTGATAGAAGCGTTACAACGCTAAGACTAGGATGGAAACAACGGTTATCTGTTGAACTCTGGAAACTGTCCAGCTCTGGCTGAAATTAACACTAGACTACCCCGCACAAGTCAAGGAGATATTTATAGTGACCAATGAATATACATCAGCCATTATGAAACATTTAGCATTAGCATCAACACTGGCATCAGTGTTGTAAGAAATGAAAATATATATATATTTAGACTGAAAACTGAAGTGTCACGGGGAAAAAAAGGCTTAGGTTTTTTTTCCCCTTGAGTACAATAGCCACGCTCTAGACTGCAGCAAAGTTTCATTATTTTCAAGTGCATTCAGGTATCAAAAATATCAGCTCTGAAACTGAATTATGAATACTTAAAAGTAAGTAATATCTTACATTATACAACCTGTCTTGTGTAGGGAATTTAAAAATCCTTTAATAATTTATTGAAAATCAGCCTTGTCCAATACCATTTAATAGCACTGATTACTGAAAACCACTAGACCACTGTATTTTGTGCAGTATAAACTTAGAACTTGTCTCATCTGTCTCAGTATTTATGTTATGCAATCTTTGGATTCCTTGTAGGCTATATACGAAGGTAATGAGACAAAGTACTTTTGTTGAGTATATCAGTCCATTACCACAAGTAGTATACATTGTGTTGTCATCACTTATACAGTATGTATGTGAATGTCATTTTAATGATGCCTTTTTAATACTAAACCACTGTGTGAAACAGTTTCAGCACTAGTAAACAGGTAGATGTCAAAATTGATCACATAAAAAAAATGGGTTTCAGAGTAGCAGCCGTGTTAGTCTGTATCCGTAAAAAGAAAAGGAGTACTTGTGGCACCTTAGAGACTAACACATTTATTTGAGCATAAGCTTTCGTGAGCTACAGCTCACTTCATCAAATACAGTAAACAATGTCCATCTTGAAAAATACACTGAGATAAAACTTTAAAACCATTTCAATGGAAATCTAATTTACATCAGTAGAAATAATTTTTGAGGATTTTTAAAAATAGCAAATCTAAGTGAAATTTACCTTACAAAACCCATAAGTAAGCTCAAGTAATTGTTAACACTGAAGTGTTTAGTAGCTATTATTGTAATCTATAAAGAGAGATTCACCAAGCAAATACATGAGAGTTGTACATATGTATGAGCAGCAGCATGTGCTTGTTTTATATTAGTGAAATTCCATACATACATTTTATGTTAATGAAATCCCATACTTACATTTTGTTTTATCTGTTTTTCTGTACATGCGAGAGGCAACAATCTAGCCACAGTCACACCTAGTCAACTCTTTTAATGTCAAAGGGAGCCAGTGCCTGAGAGCAACTGTGGGCAGAATTTATATCAATTTGTCTATCGCCACAATAGTAAAACCCCTACTATAGGAACTGAAGTGAAGCTGGCATACTTCTTTCTGCCCCACATCAGGTGTCAGTGATGTCCCCCATATACATGATGGCATAAACTCTCCATCAACCATGTCTATACTCATTTAGAACAGAAAAGACGTAATGATCCACTTTAAAGATATGCATATATTAACTTTTCAAACTTTGCTTCTAGCCCTTTTGGTACTGCATTATACTATGCAGAGGGCATAAAAATAGCCTTTTATTCTACACACTGTGTGACATTTTAGGGGATATTAAAATGTTCATTGCAGGCTATTTTAATTTTCTAAAGGGGTCATGGACTGAAAAGCAAAAAAGTCCTTAGGATAATATAAAAATAAAAGGCCCTAGTCAAACTTTGCTATTTAACAGAACTGAGCTGGCTTTTCATAGATCTAAACACCAAAGGCATACACTTCTCTCAATGATTTTTTTTTGCCAGATTAAGCATATAAAGTGTATTGAATATAGCAAATTATACATCTAATTATTCACATTTTAAGACTTTAAATAATAGCTTTCAAATTTCTGTGACAAATTATGTATATGCAAAACTCCTCTAGTTGTCTTTACTATTGTCTTTATTTTTATTGCCTTTTAATGTCTTTATTTTAGTTATTGACTGTCTTCAGTAAATAAGTACAAATAATGACTGAAAGCACTTAGGAAATAGCAGTAGTACAAATATATTCATTTATTTATTTATTTAAGAAGAAATGAAGCAATAATATTCTGCCCTTCAGATTGGATAGCATATTTGCCATTTTAAATTAGTTGGGGGGACTAAGGGGATGTTATGCCTTTTTTTGAAAAAGAATTATTTGTGATAACTTCGCTCAGCTTTTATGCTTATCCATTTTAGTGAGAGCTAATTCTATATGAGTATATATATATACTTATGAATATTTACACACCCGCTGCACATGCACATTACCTTAATAAATCATATTACAAGTTTTGGAATAGATGACATAATATATTTTTACTAATGTGCTAGATATTGTGATAGATTTACTGTGTAGACAGTAATAAATATATCCAATAAGTTATTTAAAAAAACCCAAATAAATAAATAGTAATAATAATACCTACAGCTTATATAGCACTTTTTGTCACTAGACCTCAGAGCACTTTACAAAGGCGGTCAGTATCATTTTTCCCATTTTACAGATTTCACAGAAATCAAAACGTTCCCCAACAGAGAGGCCACTATTGACTCTTAGAGGATCATATGATATTTGTACTCTTATTGTGACAAGCATTCTGTGTTAGAACTTATTAGGCTATCTTCCAATCATAAAGTGTTTAAGTGTCGCCATCTCTTGGTAAGATATGTAACCAGAAAAAGTGTATAGTTTAGTCTTTAATTTCTGAAATGCTAAAGTGTTTATATAAACTGAGTTCATTTATTTTCCACATTGACACATTTTTAGTATTTTTGTTAAACTTGACAGAATATTGACTGTGCATGGAAACTCTTCTTTAAGTAAATGGAAAGCAGTTCACCACCAATTGATTTTACAAGTTTTTAATGCTGCTGACAGACCATCAATTTTAGTTCAAGAAAATGATTAAAATGTCTTGTCTCTTAATTAGACTATAATTATAATATCTACTTATATGGAAAATACAAAAAAATCATTGTTCATAATAATGTACTTCAGTAAAGTTTTATTTCCATCAGAGTGGCTGGATATTTAGCAAGAAGTCTAGTTTTAATCAAAAGGTTTCAATTAGAAATATGAAAGCTTCCCTCGGTATTTCACTCAGATCCAATATCTTGAGAGAAAGAACTATTAAATATTTGGAAATTCCTAAGAATTGCTGCTAGATGGCATCTCTGTGCTGCTTTTCTAAAAGCATGGTGTATTGTAATGATCTTGATAGTATATAAAGTGGCCTTCTGTTAAAAGGACCATTTTAGGCAGGCCATCATTTAATCACTATACCAAATAATCATGATAGTATAACAGAAGTAAGCATTTCAAAGCTATTCAGTGCTCACTTCTGAAGAAAATAAGCAGAGAATGTTTAAAGGACTGTCTTCATTCTAGCCAGAAATATTTAGTTTTAATTTTGAAATCCTAGAACTTAAATAGGCCTTAAAAATGTGCATGCATCATTCAAACACAAATTTTACATGTACATTATTTCTCTAAGTCCCGTAATTACTTTATGTTCCACATTTGATTGGTTTTGATTTCTTGAAATTTGCCAAAAAAAAGTTTCAGAAGAAGACAGACTAATGAAATCAGAACAGGACCAAATGTATAGCATAGTCAGGAAAAAAGTGTAAATTATATATATGGCTTTTATTAACATGATTTTGGAAAAGCTGAAGAAACAAAAACAGATCTAAAATTCGTTGGTTACTGCAGAATGCATACTATATCTCTGTATTTTCATCTTAAAATTGTTTGTACTTGTAGATTTTCAAAATCCATAAAGTTGTTCAGAAACTGTAATAGTCTTCATACTGTTTGCCCAAATAGCAACTAAAAACTTTTTTCCCAGAGAGTTAAAGGAAAAAAGGAGTTATATCAAGTATGCTTCATTAGTGTTACAAGTTAATTCATTCCCTTTATGAAATTCCATAACAGTAATATCATACATGTGCCAAAATACATTATTTTTATTGAAAGTAATGACTCCATAGTTCTATGATCCATTGCAATGTACATGTCAAATCTCATTAGCCACTATGTAATTATTTTAGCCTATTTTTTCTACTATCTGTGGTTAGTTAATATGAAAATCTGGCATTAACCATCAAGCCTACATATGACATTGGGAGACATGAAAGTTCTAAAACATTCATTTCTGAGTCTTGTCAACTACCACCTGGTGTCTCATCCCCTATTTCTGAGCAAGATAATTTAGAATCCAGGGAAGAACTGTCTTCAATTACATGTAACTTTGTCCCCATCCTTGATCCTCCCATACTTGGATTCAGAGTAGGATATAACACAGGGATGGCATTAGCCACTAGCAGCTGTTCTATTTCTATTTATGAACAGATTCCAAATACCACTGGTTCTCTCAGCAATAAACAATACGGTTGGTCATCAGACAATAATTTTTTGCCGTAGAGACCTGGAAAGTGTGAATGGAATTGAATAAAGTTGGTTCATATATGTCCTCTCAATCCAGCCCCGAAGGGCACCACTTCCACATTGGCTGTGAAGTTACACAAGGATCTCCCTTCTTTTTTATTTTATTCTAATACTATTGGAAGAGATTGTGACAAAACAAGTGACACACAGAGTTGCCAATTCTTGTGATATTATCAAAAATGTCATAATTTTAGGTGTATATATGGGAGGAGGTGTTAAGCTGCTGCTAACAGAAGAAAACAAAAACCATGTATTTTTAAGCACTAACTAAAAATGGCCACTGTTTCCCATTATTCTTAATAAGACTGGAGCCACAGGTTGCCAAGATGGCTACTGTTGCAGGTGGAAGTTGGATGGTTATTGACTCCCAATGTTTTTAGTACAAAGACAGTTTCACACTCTCTAGATGAATGCAGACTTAGCTACAGCTACAGTTATCAATACACTGAAATCTCCCAGGTTGACAGTTATAATGACCTACATTAAGAAATGAACCTGGAGGCACTGAATAACCTACAGCTGATTCAGAACACAGCAGCCTCACTATAACATAGCGAGACACAAATACATCAATACAGAGCTCTGGGTTCTAATAGAATCCACTTCAAAACATTATTATTAATTAACGAATGCTCAAGTGAGACAATAAAGATGAAAAAGTTCAAATATAAAATATAAGGAATGGAGATAAAACAGATGCATAAGTCAAAACAAAAAAAATGTAAAAATGTCTAAAAGGCTTAGGAAGGTATCACACACATTTTAGCCATTCAGTAGCCTCGGGATCAGCAGTGCGGGGACTGGAAAGTCCTCCTGATAGTCCAACATGAGATGAGCTGCCATTCACTAGATGTGCCGCATTCTCCACTCCACCACAACTACACAGAGGGCAGTTCCTGAGTCCCAGTTGCAGTCATTTGTACACCTCACCACCCTGCATTTGAAAATGTTCAGCTTGCATCAGAGCTAGCATGGCAGGTCATAGCCAGGCAGTCTCTCATCAGGCTGAGTAATGAGGAGGAAGTTTCTTACAGAGGGAGCAGCTCATTCCCATTTTGCTTGCAACAATGTGGCAAGATCTGATAGCCACTTGGTGTTTGCTAGTCTCATAGTTCCCGTTATTAGTTTCATCATTTGATTCAGTTGTACATCAACTAGCTTTGTCTGGGAAGAGTTTAACCACACAGGAGTAGCAGAGAGCTAGCAGGAAGCTGCAAAATGTTTGTGCATTAGGTTCCCAAGTTGATCCTGCAAGCTTGATTAGGAGGCCATTTCTGGTCTTAATCTTCTGAGCTACCTAGGTGAGGTGGTCCTTGTAGGTAAGTGTGTGAGCTAAAGTAACTCCTAGATAGAGTTTTGAGTCATGTGCCAGCTCTTCTTCATCCAAGAAAATGTTGAGCTCTTGTAGCTGAGATGGAAGCATGACAACATAGTCTTTGACTCACAGGACTTAAGTCTCTTAAGTAATAGCCACTAATGGTGGCTGCAGTTGTCCTCAATCTTTTTGAAGACTCTGTCTCTTGAAACGAGGCGGATGTTATCTGTCTATGTGAATTACCTTGAAATTGTCAGAGGCAGATCATTCATAAATATGTTCAACAATGTTGGAGCAAGAACATATCCCTGGGTATCATGTGGACATGGATGGTCATGCCCAATTGTTGGAGCAGTAGTCTGGCCTCCGGTCAGAGCAGGAGTCAGGCATGGTGGTTAGAGCAGGAATCATTAGCCAGGATTCAGAGTTCAGGGTCACAGCTGGAGTCAGATGCCAAGTGTCAGAGCCAAGGCTCACACCTAGAGTCAGGAGCTGGAGCCTATGCTCAGAATCGGAGTCAGAGACCAGAGCCAAGGGTCAGAGCTGAAATCAAAGGTCAGGAATTAGAGCTGAGAGTCAGAACCAGGTTACGTGGAGTGAAACAAACCAGGGGAAGGGCTGGATCCAAGGCAGCAGCAGGGCTGGAACAAGGAGCAGGTCTGGGAACCAGCAGGCAGAGGAGCTATTGCAGCCATGGGCAAACACTTTGAGCAGCTAATGAACTGCTGCTACCACTGGTCTTAAGAGCTGATCTGATGACTTTTCCAACCAGACACTGTAGCCACTCAGACAGCCCCCTGCGGGTCAGTTGTGCTCATTAGGGTTGCCCAGAGACTGGCTATGCTGCAGGTCCTTCTTCCAGACTGGCTCTGCTACCAGACTCTGATTCCTGACCCTGAGATCCCAGTGAATGCCAAATTAAATTCAAAGTCCTAGCCTTCATCTGTACAGCCCCCAATAGGCTGGGACTCTCAAAGACTTTCAGAAAGATGACAATCTATCATGATACCTTTAATCTCAGAGGCATTGGATAGTTTAACAAGTGAGGATGAACCTCACAGGAGTAGATTCACGACTTTTTTTGGTGTCTGGACCTTGAGTATGGCAGTCTCTACCACAAGGAATTAGAAAGACAACATTCAGGAGCAAACATAAACCCCATCTCTTGATAATAGCTTTCCCACAATAACAACTGACTATAGTTATTGTAATTTATAGACATGATGATGTAGGTTTTTGAACTAGGCATGCTGCCGCACCCTGTGGCTTGAAGCGATTTCCATTATATAGAGAGTTTACAGTTTGGTTCAATTGCTCTCAGCACCCCCACTGTACAAATTCTTTCAGTACCCCTCAACTCCAACATAAAAAAAAAACCCTCAATATTCTCTCTGGAAGGGAGAAGAATACCAAAGGAGAAAACTGAAAATCTCATAGACCTTGCTTAATTTTTGTAAGACATTCACTTACCATGACAATGAACATGGCATATGCACCTAGAGACAGAGAGAATCTTTTAATGGCATATGTCAGTCAAATGTGTTTCTAAAATCATGATCCGGGGAGAGGGATGTATGTAAAAGTTCAACATGCTATCTAATTAGAGTGGAGTTCTGAGTCCCACAGCTAATAAAAAACTGAGACTATATACAGTAATTATGCATACTATAATTTAAAGAATAATATTGTTTTAAATGCTGTTGAGGTAGAAACATATATAGTAAGCCTACAAAATATTTTAACAGATTTCAAGAACTTGGAAATTAGGACCAAAAAACTTTGAGGTCACCTACAATGTAAAGGTGATAATCTGTCCTATGTCTCACAAACAGACTTGGCTGATATTCATGCACCGCAGTGCACCTGCAAAGCAGAGCAGATGTGCCTCATTTCACCATGTGATATTCATGCTTTTCTTTTTAGAAGAATATCTTTCAGAAGTGCAAAAATTCCAAATATGGTCATAGCCACAATCCAAATATGTCTATCACTGCTGTTACTCAGTCTGGCTCATTCAAAGACTATTTTTTCATAGGTAAATAAGCTGGTTATTAGTTGAAAGGAACTTCCCAGTAGCTCCTGTAGTGCACATCACTGGTCTTCAGGGGCTTAGACTTGGCCATGTGGGCTTTGATTAATACCTCTAAACAAAAAACAAACAAACATCATGTAAATTTAGTAATCATGATATCCATGCTGGATATGGGAATGAAGTTCTTTTACCATTGCTGCCTATAGAAGGCATGCCCCCACCAGCTACACACAGCCTAATTCTTACTGATAGCCTCTCCAAAACCTAAGAGGCATTAAGAGTCCTTTGTTAAAGGAGAAAGAGCTTTCTCTTCCTTCTTGTCTCCTTCCAGTGTAAAACCCATCTACTCACCCATGTGCTTGAATGGAGCGACAGGTGGTATAGCATTTTTTTCTTCTGTATCAGAAAGTTGATATTGTGGTTGGTTAATTTATATTTATCTACGTTTTCAGGACAATTCTTGTAGGAGAATTTTGTAGAACAATAAGCTATTAAACTGGGGCGAGGCAGTCTTTGTCATCCAATTTCATAACTGAGAGATCAGGGATTTTGCTATCCCAGGGTAGTGAAACCTACTGGTAGAAACTGCTGGGCGTTGGCCTGGGCTAGTTCTAGGCCAGAATGTTTGCTGGGCTTGTGGTCTAGTCCTGTGGGACAGTCCAAAATTGATCCTCAGACCAGCCAGAAGGAGTTTGTTTGTTGATTCAGTCAGGAGAAAGATGCAGGTGCAATCATTTTGCAAGTATGTTTATTCTTGTTTGTTTTCCTCCCTTGGTTATTTTTGTTTTGTTCATGTTCAGTAACAGTTGCAGCCTATGGGCTTTTATCTCCAATCAGATTGTGAGCATCCTTTACAATGTTGCAGACTGAAGTCTTATATTTATTCACTGCACAGGTACAGCATAGGAAATGGCCTCACAAGCTTCTCCACCCTGCCTCGCTCACCTTGGGGATCACTTGCAGAAGTGAGAAAATAGTTCCGTTTCAACTGTCCAAGCTGTGTGCATCTTTGGCCTGGCTGCACAGCCAGCCAGCAAAGGTGTCAAATTAGTGTCAATGGAGGTGACAGTTTTTTGTGATATGGAAACTTTTTCACTGGGAACTGGACTGAGACATCCAAACTCATTTTATGTAAGTCACTAAACAGTCACAAGATGTTAACTTACAATCATTATCAGAACTAGGCTGGATTTGAACTGCCAGCCTAGAAGTAAAAGATTTTATATCTCATTGCCCAGTTGCCTCTGTGTCTTTGTGCTTTTTATTTAGAGGACAGATATTCTAGAACACATCAATTCCAACAAAATAAAGTTATTTACAAAATGTCTATTGGCATTTTATAAAGGATTTTATTGAGTGTGAATCTATAGGATGAAAAAAATCCTTTAATATTTTGGCCCTTTCCGAGTCTCTCTCTCATGGAGTATCCATGCAATCATTCACAACAGCTTTATATAGCCCAAAATGTAATACTTCTTGTTTCTTCATTCCACTTGGAAATGATTATGATCAAGAAGAAAGTCATCAAATGGATTCCTTGACATTTATTCAAATGAATCCCTGTAAATCTGATTATAGCTTTAATCTCCAATGTAGTATTACTTCCCTTGAAAACATTTTTCAGTTGGGACAACCAGAATTTAGGTACCTTCTACAGACAAAGGGGCCACACTTGTCCCTCTGATTTCAGGGAGTGATGCAAGTATTTGCACCTTTCTGCAGCTGTGGAGTAAGCTGTACTGGGGCAGTTGGGTGAAGGAGGATCCGCAGTAAAGGCATGTTGCAGAACTCCTTTATAAATTGTCAGTGGCAATTTTGGGAATGTGTTTGTTCTTATGTAGCTGATGTGCTCTGGGATAGCTTTCTTATTAATTGATATACTTTGCCATATGTATGCATGGTTGTTGGTTTCTATTTAATTAATTAATTAGAAGCACCCAGATTAAGGTCTCAGAGTAACAGCTGTGTTAGTCTGTCTTTGCAAAAAGAAAAGGAGTACTTGTGGCACCTTAGAGACTAACCAATTTATTTGAGCATGAGTTTCGTGAGCTACAGCTCACTTCATCGGATGCATACCGTGGCGGTATGCATCCGATGAAGTGAGCTGTAGCTCACGAAAGCTCATGCTCAAATAAATTGGTTAGTCTCTAAGGTGCCACAAGTACTCCAGATTAAGGTCCTGATTCAAGATAGCACTTATACATACTATAATCCATCCCTGCCTAAAATAGTATGTAAGCACATAATTAATTTTTAAGCATGGACTTCAGTGGGACTTGAGCACATGTTTAAGTGCTGTACTGAATAAGGATGATGTCTAGAATTAGGGCATAAGGTGATTCAACAATATTTTATCACATAAATAGTTGTTAATTATTTACGGGAGCAGACCCATTGTACTTATTATAGAATTTAGTTGTTTTCAATTGTTGTTTGTATTTATTTTATTTATTGCCTTTGGGGGTGGTGTTATTCCTTTATATAAATAAGAAAAGTAACTTATTTAGTGTCCAAATAAATATTTATTCCTACATCATTTGAATATGGGTTATTTCTATTTCAGTTTCCAAATACTCTTCTGCAGGATATTCCTTATTTTTCTGCCCTTTGTTATAGTCATACCAGTGCTGTGGTGTGCAGGTGAACTAACATTCTCAGCACACAATTTATTTCTGTATTTTTTCAAAATATTGGATTTGATGTTAAAATCAGTGGAGAACAGAGCAGCTGAAAACTTACAATGCTTTAACAATGTAATATATCATTTATGAAACATGCAATGACTGAGATTTACTATGCAGAAGCAGTTCAAAAGCATTTTATTTTTAACAACAATCCACACAGATCTTCATTAGATTTTAGTAATCGTAATACAACATTTTCAAAGTAAAACTGCTCTCTTTTTAACAAGACATGAGCAGTTAGTGATTTGCTTTGAATTGCCAGTCACTCTGGACCCAACAGAACTGATCCTGTTCCTACTACATTCCATAGGAGTTTTGCTGTTGTCTTTGGTAGGAGCAGAAGCAAGCCCATTATTTGTAGTTTATAGCTCTTTGGCTCCCCATTCTTTTCCAATTAGCCAGTGCTAGCTGAACATGAATGTTCACTGGGTCCCACCGTCCAGCACATTTTGTGAAAGCACAAAATTTTGATGTATTCCTTATAAGGATTCTATTTCTGTACCACAGAAACCTTATAAGTTATTTTCTTTCTTTGCAATTTAAAACAGGGTTTTTCTAAATGTTATTTTTAAAGGGAGAGCTAGAGAGAGAAAAACTGTTAATAACTCCAAGTCCACATATGCCAATTATTATGCTCATACGTTATATTCATGGTGAGAAATCTCTCAAAATTAGTACTGGCTGGGAAATGATTTTTGTTTCCATAAAGAAATTTAAAAAAATATTTTGCCTTTCATTCAGATTTCCAGTTAAAATTTCTGTTTTGATGAAAAATGGCTTTTTTGTTAAAAAAAAAGAATCAGAGGAAAAATTACAGTCATTTCTTCTCAAAGACCCACTTCACATATAGTCTTTTATTTGCAGATTTTCAACTTTTTAAATAATTCTAAAGATACTAGCGGAAAGAAATACTTAAAATGCAAGGCATATATGCAGGTCCATTTGAGGATAACTAAGTCAGATCTTAAAACCCTTATGTATACACTGATGAATTATCTGAGCTTGCGTGGGAGAGTCTAAATTTCAAAATTACCTTAGTATTATTGTTCCTACACATGCTTCAGATTCAGTGGTCCAGTCTGGGTCCCTCTTTAATATTTAGCAAATTTTAAAGAGAGGTGAAATAAGCTTACATATAGAACTGATATAATGATTCACATGAGTGGAACGCATAGACTATGGCTGCTCCTATAAGTTTATGAGTACTTTCTGTGAGATATTGTGTGCCCTCATCTCCCATTGGCTTTCCCAGAATTTGGGGCTTGGGCCCATAATGAGATCACAAAAAGAATCATACATGCTATCTGTGTAAGTATTTAAGTGCATTTTCACAAAGTGTCCAAAGAGGCTTGTGTTTGACAGCCTAACAAATGTTAGAGCATTCCAAATAATTAAGAAATGAACAGATTAAATGTCATAATCAACTGACAAGAGACTGATTCTGGTACCTTATTATAAAGGCTATTAAGTCAGAGAAGTGCATACAAGAGCCCCCAGAAATTGTACCAAAGGAGAAGAACCAAAGGAAGTAAATAACATTAGGCTTATTGCATCAGTAGGCCACATATATAAACTACAAATAAATAAATAAATAAATATAAAGAATCTGTAGACAGAAAATTTACTTCCTAATTGCCTTGCTAAGTTCTGAACTTTTTACTGAGAATTTGTCCCCTTAAATTATTTGTTACAGTATGCCCTGAATTAATTGTTTTAATGTTCACAATACATCAGCAACATTTTTTATTTTTGTGATTTATGCGGAGAGGATTTCTGCCTAATAGATTTAATCTAGCATTAGAATGCTTATGTCATCACAAATTAAGCCAAACAATTACTTAAATGTGTATTTCAAACTCTTAGCATTACATTCAAGATTGTTGTTGTTTTAAAATTGCGTTTCCTACTGTCAGTCAGCAGAGTATTTTCATTTTCTTTTGTGTTGTGCCCTGATACACTCATTGATTTTTTTTCCAATCAGAAGCCATTCATCCATTATATTTATATATAGATATAAAATCAAAAGCTCTGGTCAAGGTACTTGTTACTATGTAATATTCATTCAGTGTGAGTAGAATTTCTGGTCCATTGGTTGTTATTTTGGTAACAAATAGTTTTCATCCATTATTTTACATACTTCTAATTGTATTTGAGATACAAAAACTAAAATGAATTGAGCAGTGTGACTAAAGTTATCCTGATTGTGAACAGTAATGTGAGGGGGAGGGAGAAGGAAGAGAGCAACTACTAGTGTGGTCTTCCTCCCTTAATTTAAAACAATTTCTATTAGGACAGGTTGGTTTGAGGTGCTTTTTCTTCCTGATTCCATAAATTGTGAAAATAGATCAAAATCAGAACCTTGAATACACTCCCTTTTACACCTAAGAGAGGGGAGAGACAGAGCAGACTATCTAGAGCCAAACCTATGGTTTTAGTTCTGGATTGGATTCCAAACTGGAAAGTGTCCATTGTTTTCTATTTTTGTTTTAAATGATTTTACAGAAAAGAAATATAAAACAACAACTCAGTGCACATACATCTTAGGAGCTGATACTCACAAAGCATTCAAGATGCATGTACAGCAAGCCAAAATGTGTAAAGAAGGAAATTATATCTATGTTCCAATAATCTAATTCCAAAGCAATAAAAAATACCCTGTGACCATTCACACAACATAAATGCCTAGAGATAAATAATTGTAGTCAACAGTTTACACACTACCTATAGTCTGGAAGTTGTTCATCCAATAATTACCTATAATTAATACATTTGCAGAAATCAGGAAAGGTTTGTATATTATTCATGAACCAGAATGAAGACCTAAATTCACTGAACTTTTGATTTGTTTATTCCTGTCTTACTAGCTCTACTTTATAGTTGATACACCCAGAGGTAATGCAATATCCCACAAAGGTAGCAATTACATATAGATAAGGACATTTTTATTAAGCAGAAAAAAAAGAATTATAATTTTTCCTTCATATTTATGTTCTCTATCCATTACATCTCTTTCCAAATCATAAGAAGAAGCCAGGCACCTGCAAAGACAGATAACTTTATGAACTTCATTAACTGATACAACTTCTGGAAAAAGAGATAAAATGACATTTTTGATAACATGTGGCTTGTATGATATCTGGGCTACTGAATTTTCTAACCATTTAAAAGATAATCTGAATAATGATGAGTTGTCTGAAGTATCCATTCACGATATATGACTGCATCTTAGACCAGGAGCATCTGACTGAGAAACAGAAGTCCATCCTTGTAGCAGAAACTGATGCATTCAAATTATGTAAATTATGGATGAGTCCATGTGAAAACTATTTTTGCTATGGTTTAGGTATGCTCTCATCTGTTCCGAAGTTTCTTTCAAATATCTATTACATTTATAAAACCAAATGTCCAATTCAGTTCTACCAAAAGAAATATTGGGCAATTTACAAA